ATCATAAAGGTTCATTATTAAATACCTGTTGAATTCTGTCTACAAAAGATCAGTCATTATTCATGTTTCTTCCAGTGGGAATGTATCTTCTGCTTGTTAGATTCAGAGGTGGGAGTAGGAGTTGGTGTAAATCACATTTCTAGGCCTGTGTGACAGTAATGGGAAAGGGATTTCTGTATGGATCACAATTTGTATATTCTAATCCAGTAGTTTGGTCTGACTGAAGAAGTATTTCTCTGGAAAGAGCAAGCTTCCTTGGTTATAAATATTTGTCAGAAACATGAACCTATTTTAAAAAGTAAATATGGTGGGTGTATGTGACATTAAAACACTGCACCAGTAGACAGCAGGGGATCAGGAAATTGATTTTTCAAATAGATGTGTTTCTCTCCCTTCCCTTTCAACACCCTGTTTTCACATTTTGACTTGCATTTTTGCCCATTCCTGTAAGTTTGTGCTTCATTTTTTTTCTGCTTGTAAACCACATTTTTGTGCTTCCAGCTGTGTGATTTTTGAAGTGCTTTATGGTCTTGCAAACTACAGTTAGTCATGCCGCTTCTGTAACATAATGCATATTTAGTAATATGTACTTCTGTTAGAAAGGTCTGTGTTTTTCAAAAAACTTGATCTGGTCAGTGTCTCAGGATTTCCTCAATAGGGGGCAGGGAGAAGTTTTATAAGAAAAGACTGCTTTTTTTGTAACAAACAATTCAAGTTTTGAATCATTGGATCATTGAGCCTTTTGCATACTTGTTTGGGTTTCTTGCAATGGAACCCAATTACAATTTATTTCTCCTGGTGCTGCCACTTGAATTATGTTGTCCTCTGGTCATTAGTCTAATGGTGAGCACAGCCTTTTTGAGCCTGTTAGGAAGCAGTGATGCCCAGCGACTGAGTACAAGTCCAATCCCATCCTATCCAAATATGCACTACCCTGCTGTGTATAGTGGCATCTTTTGAACAAAAGTAGTGCAATAAGACAACCTGATAGCAGTCTGAGTTGTCAGAGGAGCACCAATAAGTCACTTTTTGTTCTAAAGGGAAGGCAGTGGAGTTACGAGCAGAACATAGGCAATGTTTGGCTAGGAAAAGGTGTTTTATTTAGAAATAAATAGAGTTTAACACATTTAAAGCTTGTTAATTGAAACATCCAGAGTTAACAAGGTAACATTTTTCTAAAGTGTTCCTAAAGCAGTTTTTCAAAATATATTTCACTTTTCTATGTGGCAAAAAAAAAAAAAAAAAAGAATGCAAGGAAGTATGAAACTCCTTTGGTGTAAGCCTTTGTAGTGTTGGCTATAATTATAAGCCCTAAAAAAATTCCTTTTGCAGCTCCCTATATGCCTTCAATAAAAAAACAATCAGATTTAATTTTTTTTTTTTCCTGTGGACAAACAAATCACATTTATCTTGTTGTTTGAAAAGAGCATTATCTGTGGTAAAGCCACAGACAGGAGAGAGATGTTCTGATTGAGCTTTATTGCAAGGCCACCGATGGAAAGCATGCATTCTAAGTACTTGTGTAGAGCTTTTGTGGATGTAAACGAGGAATTGGATAGATCTGAATCTCAAAAATAACCTTATGACTGTAATTTTGAAAAAGCTCTCAACACTATTGAAAATCACATCTCATTTTGGTGCTTAACCTTTTAAGGTGTCGAAAGCTTTTCACATTTTCAACTTCATGCATAGAAACTCACAGCATCAGGACTAGCAAGAGAATTGTTAGTTGAATGAATGACTACATATTTGACTGTTTTTTGCTGTGGTAGACTTATATGCAACTTTGCTAATACCATCTGCCTTTGAAAGGCATTTTAGGAAATATTTTGAAGGACTGAACAGTTCTTTTGGCACCAAGTGCAGCAAAACAAAGAATGAGTAAGACAGAGTATAGATGCTTAGTGGAAAGAGAAACAGCATTTGTCATACACTAGTCTGACAAATGGAATTTTGATCCCTAACTTAAGTGGAATGACTGACATACTATTTATATGTCTAAGTTCTACTGCTAATGAAACTCTAAAAAAAAAAAAAGAGAGTTCAAATTTTTTTTTGTTTTTAAATTTCTCAACTAATTGAATCCTGCTCAAAGCTATAAAAAAATCCTATATGATCTCCAATTGCCATATAGATACTCTTTGGAGTGGAATTGTGTGATTTGCAAGTTAGACCATAGCGGACCTGCAGCATTCAAAAGCCCATGCAAATGACTTATTCATTTCAGATTTCCCTCACTATTTTTTTTGCACACTAAGTGAGCAAAAAAAAAGGTATCGTTAACTGCAGAATATACATTCATTTTAATTCTGCAGGAAATGAAGACAGTTTATTTTAGCATCTGTTTGCACCTTGGGAGCTGCTCCTTTGACTTTATTACGATAAAGGCCTGGAGAAATAACCTTTAGATTGTACTTCTAGGAAAACAGATCTCCATGAACTTGATTTTAAAAATACTTCCCTCAACCCATTATGTGTGCTTATTTGGGAATGGTAAGTTCTAACAGACCTTTATTCCTTGTTGAATACACTTTTAAAATATTTTTTTTCTTGTATATTTTATCTGTAGCCAGTCTGGACTATTTGTAGGGAGGAGGACTTCCAGTATTCACTGCTGGAATATAGCGAGCATCTATGTAAATCCTTCTCATACTTGCATTTATCTGGCTTCCAGTTATAAGTGTAGTTTAGTACCTTTTACAGTAAAGCTAGCATCTGTCTTGGTCTGTGACCGGGAGGTGGAAGCCACACAGGCCAGGCAGACGGTGTGCAAGCCGACAGAGAGGCTGGCATTAGCCTGAGCTCCGGGATGGAGGTGCCGCGGCTCCACCGCCAGTGGTGTGTCTCATCGCCGGTACTCGTGATTACTCCTGTATTCTTGCCTGGGGAAACCGTATATACGTTCGCATGTAGGAAAGCGCCTATGGAAATTAATACCTTTCTTAAAGTTTTTTATTCCCCTCCCCAAATAGCCATTTACAAAAGATTTTAAGGTGCATTTCTAAGGATACGCCTGTCATCTTTTGTGCACAGGTCTGACCCTTCCTTTGTAGAATTGCTCTGCAGACAGCAAAAGGATGCTGCTGCATGCAGTTACATCCCTGCGTATTTCCAGGAGCCTGACATAAGACCTGTTATTCTCTCCTCTCTCAGCTCAGATGCTAGACTGGGTGGGTTAAGTGGTGAGGGGGAGGCTTTGAATCAGAACAGAAAGATTAATTCTAGGCTCTGCTAAACCACAGCGCTTAACTGTAACCTGCTCGAAACAGCACTGCAAAGGCATTGCGGGCATGAGTAGAGCAGTGATGGGTAGGGAGCGCTTGTGGAAATGGCAGCCAGTTTGGGGGGCTTTTGGGAGTGAACCTGTGCCTCACAGAACATCTCTGCCCGTGTCCAGCAGTGCTACTGGGATAAGCTTTGGGAACACTTTCTCACAGCTGTTGCTGTAGTGGTGGGTTTGGGTTGGTTGCTGGGTTCCTGAAAACTGTGGAAATGATAATGAGTCCTCTTATTAGCAGAGAGACTTATTAAGTAGAGAGGAATAAATCCCATGTTAGCAAAACTTCTCTTAAATTTGTACAACCTCTTGAATCCAGTTATTACTGCCTCTTTGCTTCACTAGAAGCAGCGGTTTCAAGCGCAGCTGAAAAGGTCTCTCACCAATGAGAGCAGATTTTCACTGCAGTAGTAAGATAACAATTAAAGGAATTTGGTGATGGCTGGAGTCCTTTAGCTGCCTCAGACAGTGACACAAATGCTGGATACTGCATGTGGCACCGTAGTGAGGACCTTGCTGTAAGGGCACCGGCTGTTATCCTGGGCGAGCTGCCATGACAACTGTGCCGCTGCTGAATGCCCTGTGCGGGTGTTCTTACAGAGAGCTGCGGGTCATTGATATTCTGAGTGTTTCCCAGAATATTGCAGGCAGTAGAGACCCTTTCCTGTAGTTCTGCCGATGTTTACCATTATCACAGTGGGTAAACTGTGCAAATGGTGTTGACAGGTATCTGGGAAGGAAAAAAGCTAGATTCCCTAAAAGCAGTTTTTTGTTCTACCTCTTTAATTACATGGTTTTAACCAAATGGTTCTAACTTTCTTAGCTTCTCCATAGCTTTTATTCCCAGATCTCATTTGGGTGTGCGATGTTAAAAAGAAGGGAAACAATGATACGGTAAAATTTTAATCTGTTTACATTTTAAAAATAGCTTGCTACCTTGCAGACACTTTTTTTCTTTCAAGGGAGTTAGAATGAGTTCGGTGGGATTTCTTGTTGTGATGGTTTTGGTTTTAATTGTTTTTAAAGCAGATGCTCCTTTACAAGCTGACTTTTATTGACTTTTGAGGAGTAAGGATTTCTTCAAGGTCTTTGGTTTTGTGTTTTTAGAGAATGTCTAAAACATTTTTCTTTCTGACATCCCCATCCTTCTTGAAATACATTGTAACATCATTACTGGGACAAGTAAGAACAGACAGAGCTGCAAAGGGCATGAAAGGGAGTCTGTATTTCTTTTTTTCTTGAATATGGAATACCTTTGAATAACAGAGGGAATTAATTTTTTTTGACAGGACATTAAAACATGCCTCAGAGCATTAAAAAAAAAATAAATCGTAGAGGCAATCATTTTAACTCGACAGACTTTCCTATAAGCAATTAATGTAAGAATACAAGTGTTGATACTTGAGTAGCGTTATAGATGGTCTTGTAAGTCCATCAGCATGCATGTGGAGTTAGAGGCAGAAATACAGGTGTTAAATGTAAGAAGAGGTGTTTTTGGAGGTGAGGGGCAGTGATATTTTACATTCTTGACCCTGATGCTTCCTGCACTACTGAGAGAGCTGAAGTACTTGAGAAGTGGAGTGTTTCTGTTGTTATAAAAGAACATTGTGGTATCACTGTGAAAAGGAAAACACAAACTTCATAATTGTTGCTGACTAACTGAAGATTTAGTATTTTAAAGTACTGCATTTGTTTATTTTGCTTTATATGTTTTGCTGTCAAGGTGACATGCTTGCAGGACTTCTTTGGAGATGATGACGTCTTCATTGCATGTGGGCCTGAGAAATACCGGTATGCTCAGGATGACTTCGTGTTGGATCACAGCGGTAAGACTGTGCATCTTAAACCCACTGAAATAGTCAACTTCATTGAGAACTCTCTGCCCTCCACCCTCCTGTTCAATCCTCAAGAGTTGTGTGATTTAGGAAAATATACATGGAAATATATTTTCGTATGAATTAAAAATTTTTCCCAAACCATCTGGATTCTGTAAGTCTGTTAAAATACAGTAACAAACCTGACCTATTTTCTTGGAAAACAGACCCTGTCCCTAAAGTTTTTTTCTCCCTTTGTCTCTTCAGCTTTGGTGGTCCCTGCTTCCTCTAATAACTCTGGAGGTCTTAATGCAGAAAAGCAGGTTAGGTACAGAGTGGAACATGGCTTGACTGTCAGGGCATGCAGGTGTACTTACTGTTTTGGTGGTGGTGTAGCATCATAATGATGGCATTGACATCATAGTGATGAATAACAAGGACAAAATTAGGAGGGAAATTTATATAATTCCATTGGGAGTGATTTGCAGTGGATGCTAACTGTAGGAATTAAAATTTTTATTTCTGAAATGTCAGTGCACGTGTGCCTATTTATTCCTTTCCTATATAGGTTGTCCTTTATTTAATGAAATATAGCTGATGGTAAATGCCAGTAATCTACTTTCTCAGCCTTTTGGAAACTACAGGTACTTTTCACCTCTTTAAAAATTGGTCACAACATCAGTTTCTTGCAAAAGAAAGTAAATGGGGCTTGCTGTGCAGTTGCCCTATATGAAGCTGCCATTATAGCTTGCAGGATTTACTGAATTATCAGAAAACATTGATTTTACTGACTTCTTTACTCTTTCAGCTGTGTGTAGTTACAAACTTCAATTATAGTAATAATCCAGCTTCAAGACATGAAGAAATACTACATGCAGAATGTTACGTACAGCATTTGAGAAGCTCCAATATGTTTGTATGGTATATAAGTTAAAGTTCTGAGATACTCTTAGAAATTTGTTGCATTCAGTTGGACAAGCATGTTTAGAAGATACTGATGTTCATTTTCTGGATAATAAATGGCAACAGTAGTGTTTGGAGGAAGCCTGTACATTGAAATGTTAAAACTCTATCTGCTTGCTTTGTAGAGTGCCGTGTCATGAAGTCCTCTTATTCCCGATCATCTGGTATGAGGCATACTGGGTCCAAAAGCCCAGGACCTTCACACCGAAGCAAATCACCTGCCTCAGGTACTACTTCTAGGAAAGAGCTGAACATGTAAAATACACTGAAGTTAGAATTTGCTTAATGGGGTGAAAAAACTGTTGGCTCTGAAATACAGATGCCATGCTTCGTTTCCTGAGGGGAAAATTTTTTTTTTCAGTTTGCCTCACAGATTTAATACTAGTTTATTAGAAAATTTGCATTTATTTTTCAATCCTGAGTAGAAATGTGGTTTCTATTTTTTAATTAAGAGGCACAAAAAGTTTCAGTTTATGAGCATTGGAATAATTTGTGATAATTGTACACTTGGGATATGTTTTCAGCATGGCACTTGATTTTATTTAAGACCATAAACTACAGGATGGTTATGTGGTTAAATTCATGTTCATTGAACTAGAGTATACCCTTAAGTGTTTTGAATTTGAAAAGTTTGTCCTATCTAAGCCAAATATTGTCGGAAATACAGGATTTTGCTGTTTCAAGTAATTTTAGGAGATGTTCTGGAACACTGTTGGCCATTTACAGAGAAATTCTTTTTCTTCTTCTTGTGCTTCCTGTAATTTCAAACAAACGTTCACATTGTGTTTTTGCCAGGGGTTTGGCTGAGCACCATGTGTTCCACCCATTGAGTCTTTTATGCAAATAAATAAAATGGAGAAACTTGGTTTTTTTTTTCTTTTTTTACCTCTGTATTTAATTTCTAAATACAATAAAACTTAATTAATTTTTTCCCCTCAGACCTGGAGAAGTAGCCCTGAAATCAAACCATTTGAATATGTACACATATGATGCTCTGTTTTGAATGTAACTGTACATGTAAGCTCCTGTGTGTGTATTCAAAACTGACATGTTCCATATTCTCATTTCCATATCAATATTTGTTTTGCTTAATTGATGCTGATTAGAGTAATTTTAGTCTTTGGGTTCTTTCAAAGTGGAATATTTATCATCTGTTTATAATGGTTGCATAATTAACTGAAAAGCTTCAAAGAAGGATCGCAGTAACAACAAAGAAAAATGTACCATGAAGGGCAGATCACAACGGATCTACATTTCATGCAACCCTGTTAACTCTAGTGAGATCACATGGGATATCTATCAACTGTGAATTTTATGCAAAGCATTTAGAAATCAATGCTGTCATTTCCTTACTTATTTCTACTTGGACACCCCTTTGGTTAGGTTAATTAGAAAAAATTACCCAAAGTTTCTGGTATTTATCCTTCTATTTACTTGCAATTTTTTCTCATATAGTCTTTACTTATCTTTATTTACCCTTCTTCCTTTCATGCATGTTCAGAGCTGTTTAATAACTTCTTTCCTTAATGTCTTTTTTCCTTTGTGTCAAATATATGAGTACAGTAAAGAGGGGTGGCCACTACTCCAGTGCTTATGCTTCAGCAAAATCCCCAGGTGAGCCATTGCTATTATGGCTGTATATTGCTAGTGTGTCTCCTCCCTTTCCATTTACCTGTGTTCTTTTCACTGTATTTGTGAATATTTTCAAGCTTCAAACAAACATTTTGCATTCAGTGAACCAGAGACATAGTGGGTATAGGTTCTTTGTTGAAGTAGATCGTTTGAGTGAAATAATATAAATGATGCTTTATAGTTGTTGGACATGTGCTAATGGTGTCAAAGTTTGTAAAGGTATAATTTGACTACAAGTAGAGGAGCATTCTGAGGAGCAATACGTTTGTATGTGTATTCTAAAGCATATTATAATAGACTATATAAAATATTATATTTTATAATAAAATAATAACCAGTGCAAAAAGGCAGGGGTAGGAATGGCCAAAAAAAGCAGTGCGAAAACACGTCATAGTTTTTCATTTTATTTGCAGTTTCTTACCTTCGTTTTCTCATATTATTTCGGCCTCAGTTCTAAAACACTGAGACACCTCTTTCAACCTTCAGTTCAAAGAGAAAGTATCTCTAAAAGAATTAACATGTATTTTGATTAGCAAATAAGTTGAGACTTTGGACCATACTAGAAGTTAATAATTTAAGAGATTCATAGGTTTTTCAGTTTTGAACAATCTGATATGCTAAAGAATTGTAGCCTGATATGTACTACTAAGAGAACGACAGAGAAGAATTTTTTTTTCTATGTATTCAGGCTGCTATAAATGTCAAAAGAGATCTCAAAGTAACTTATACTTAGGAAATAGGTAAGAAAGGTAAGTTTTGCATATACATGAAATAATCATCAAATCAATAGCAGCAGACAAGTTTGTGCCAAAAATTAATACAGATTGCTTGTGTGGTTTTTGAGGGGAAAAATAAAAGTGCTGCTGCCTGAAATAGGGTTGTGGTTTAACTCCAGCCAGCAGCTAAGCACCACACAGCCGCTCGCTCACTCCCCTCCCCAGTGGGATGGGGGGAAGAGAATTACAAGGGTAAAAGTGAGAAAACTCATGGGTTGAGATAAGAACAGTTTAATAATTGAAAAAAAATTAATAATAATTGTAATTAAAATAAAAATAACAGAGAGAAATAAAACCCAAGACAGACAAGTGATGCAAATGGAAACAATTACTTATCACCAACCAAGCGATGCCCAGCCAGTCCCCAAGCAGCAGCTCCCAGCCGCAACCCTTTCCCTAGTTTTATTGCTGAGCACGACGTCATGTGGTATGGAATATCCCTTTGGTCAGTTGGGGTCTGCTGGCCCAGCTGTGTCCCCTCCCAACTTTTTGTGCACCCCCAGCCTATGCGCTGGCAGGGTGGTGTGAGGAGCAGAAAAGGCCTTGATGCTGTAAGCACTGCTCAGCAATAACAAAAACAGTCCTGAATTATCAACACTGTTTCCAGCACAAATCCAAAACAAAGCCACATACTAGCTACTATGAAGAAAATTAACTCTACCCCAGCAAAACTAGCACAAGCAGTTGTCTGACTCGCTATAGGTGCAAAATTTTTACATCTACACAGGGCCACTTCCAGCTTCTACTGTTGTCGCAATTGTGTATCAACTCACTTGCAGTGAAGTTGTCTCAGAAGACATTGGCGAAGCTGTATCTACAGACAGCTCTTTTAAATAGGGTCCTCAGCACAACGTACCAGGTGTTGTAGAATCACAGAAGGACAAAAGTTGGAAAGGACCTCTGGCCATCATCTAGTCACAGCCCTGTGTCAGAGCACCACCCTTGTCCACCAAGCATATCTAAGGTATTAGCAAAGAGCTACAGTACTGTCAGTGTAGGCTGGGATGTTCCGTAGACAGTTAGGAGAGGGAAGAAGATTATGTTAGCCAGCCAGTTTCACAGGTATAGTGTAGTGGTTCTGCCAATGCTTAAAAGGATGGTAGTGACTTGGAGACAGATAAGGATGTCTTATGGTGTAGTAGTTCTGTCATGTTCAGGTAATTGTGACCTTTCTGTGAGCTGTATAAAAAGTGTTTGTCAATAAACAAAAGTTTTTTCCTCCTGAGTAATAGTTGGTAATTTCGAAGGTAATTCTTCTACTGAAGTATTTCATTTTTGGTCATGAACTTTACACTTTTTCTAATGGCTAGAGGAAATTGTGTATGCAAGAAACAGAAAACAGTAAGATAGCATTCACTAGCCCTTTTCATTGTCATAATTGCAAAGTCTTTATAAGACAAGGATGCATTGTTATGCCAGATTTCAAGAAGGTTATCTAAAACAAAGTAATGGAAAGAAGTCTGCAGGAGGAACAGATACTCTTAAATACTTTAGCTTCTTAAAAAAAAAAAAAAGAAAAAATTGCCTGTTGTTCTTACAGGCAACTCGTGTTAAAGTCAAGACAAAAATATACTAAACATATTGAATACTTTTAATAGAAGAGACTAAGATCTGGCAATGTAAATCCAAGTTATCAGATTTGTGGAAGTTGCAGTGCAGTCAGCCTGGCCTAATGGCAGATGGACTGCTCAGATTGTAAAAATAGTACTTGGAAGGCATCTTCAGCCCTCATAGAATGTTAGGGTACTAGGTTAATAGACACTTTTAAAATAAATCCAGTAATGCTGGTTAGGAAGTGATGCATAACCCATGACAGACCTCTGAATGTGTAAATGTGCAGGTGTAACAATTATTTACGTTGAAGCTAAGTTTCTATTTGCCAAGGTTGCTTTTTTTCTTTCGGAAAAAATAATTCTTCACCAAGAATCAGCTATGAAATCTTTTTAGCTCTGAAATTTCTGCCTAGTATTTTCCTTTCCTAGGAAGAATGAGGTTCAGCTAGAGGAAATAATGTTGCATCATAGAATGTTGCATCACATTTGTGTATGATGAGCAGTGTGCTGTTCTGTCTGTGTAATGAAATTCATCAGTTTGTTTTTCAGAAAAATAAAAAGACTGACCTAAGTTACATTCAAGTCACCAGGGATATAACAGATGTATCTGTGGAAAACTGGACTTAAAATGAATGAAGTCTTGAAGTCAAGAGGGAGGATATTGTATGTTTTCACAGACACTTGAACTTCTTGGAAGTTCAGAAATAACCTACTAGCTTTTACCTTGCTGGGTTTTACCCCCTAAATCAATACTTTTCTGAACTACTACTTAAGTTCTTTATCATCCAAACAGCTCATCATTCTTGTTTGTTTTTTTTCCTTGGGAAAAAACCAAAAAAACCTGTGTTCTGTGAAACATTGTATATTCCTATAAAGTAAGGCATTGATCCAAAAAGGAGAGATGGAGGGTCAAATGTCTTTATGAACACTTTGTCTCTCAGTATTTTATTGTGAATTATATTATATAAGGCTGTGGCTATTATTTGCCCAAAGCTTTTGCACTGGCAAAGGACAGATTAGGCCTTTTTGATCTCTAGAATGACAATGCAATATTTGTAGGTCTTCTTGATCCCATATCCAGCCACATGAGTTTTGGGGGCACAGTTGCGTGGCATGCAAGCATATGATTTATTCAGAAATGCTGTGGAGTCTGTTTTGGTCTTTGTATGCAGACTTGAGTGATAACTTGTCAGAGAGGTATGTTATGTTTAAAAGCAAGTTAGGGTTTTTGACTTTTACTCATCTTTTCTTTCATTTGTTTGCTTTTATTGCTTTGGCCAGTTAATGGAACGCCAAGCAGTCAATTATCCACCCCAAAATCTACGAAGTCCTCCAGTTCTTCACCAACAAGCCCAGGCAGCTTTCGTGGACTCAAGGTAAGTGCAATAAACATCAAAACCCCTAAATTCTATTATTCATTGAGTGATGTGTAACATTGCTGCTGAAGAAGAAAAAAAGAAAAAGACAAAAAAGAGTTATAATTCTATAGGGTAGCCTTGCTAGTATGATTTTTGAGTTGCAGTGGAGAAGACATTTTAAGTAAGATTTATGTATTTCGTCTTTGGTTGGCAGGATGGAACTCTCAGCCTAGGAAAGGTGGAGAGTGATGGTGGTTTGAACATGCCAATTTGGCCTCCAAATTTTCCATTGTTTTGTGGACTGCAGGAACCCCCTAAGTAATTTATATTCTCTCAGCCTGTATAAATGTAGTATCCTGTTTTGGATACCTTACAGCCTTGTAACATTGCCCAGAACTTCATCTGAAGCCCAGAACATCATCTGTGGTACACAGTTTCACCCCTTAATGCAGTCTCCTGCCTGAAAGTATGTGAGGGGTTCCTTTGGGAGCAGCCTGATGTCTTGCAGATTTTTCTCTTTTTTGAACCAAGAGAATTCTCTTCCTCTCCCACTTAAAAATTGTTAGTATTTACAGTTCTTAGAGGCTGCTCTGTGCCTTTCACTCAGTAAAATAAAAGTAACAGTCTGGAGCACAGTTGAGCATATTACTGCTGCATTTGTGCAGCTGTCCTTTCAAGGAGAATTTTCTTATTAATTCATCAACTGCAGCAGCCTTTCTGGAAGCACAGTGGGATGGTTCACAGTGATTATTCTGATCAAGTAGTAGCTCCCATTGGTGAACACTACAGTTGTGAAGAGGCCACATAATTCTGCGGAAAACTGTTTTCTCAATTAAGAGACCAGTTAAAGGACATAATTTGAATAAGATTTAGATTTGGGTTTTCACATGTTAATTGTTACTAAGCCATTATCTGTTTTGCAAGGAGTATGGCACTGATTTCTGCCATGCTCCTGTGATAATTCTGAAAAAAGTTTTTTATTTATTTGTTTAATTCTAATATATTTTTAGTTGTTTGGTTCATTGTGGCAATTCAGCGTTGATCTCTGCCTTTATGTTGTTAAGCTATACCATCCCATAGCTTCTCTTTGTCCAAAGCAACATAGATTGGCCTTTCCCCTATAAAGCATTTTCAAGAGCAGTAATAGTTCTGACATTGAAGAGTAGAACTGTGTGTCTTTAAAATTTGTCTGGACAGCTCTGCTATAGAACTTACAGTAGAGGACACCAAAGTCAATGGACTTGAGGCTCTCGGCTGGTCTTCACTATATTTAACAAATGCTCTTTTATCTTTCTTTAATGAAATTATAAGTTTAGAAACTAGATTTTTGGTTCGTTTCATCCCCATGCTGTCCTGTCTGCTTTTAGCCGATTAAAGCTCCATTAAGATAGAGATAATTCTGATAGTAACAAGCAATTGTCAGTAAAGCAGACACGTCCTCTTTCCCCTTCGCTGACAATTTCACTGACGTAGGTTGTTGCACTTACTCATTTTGGAATTTAATTGATGCTGGATACTAATGGGTTTTCGTGCCAAGAAAACAGCAAAACCAAATGAATCATCTCAGAGCTGACATGTTACTTGAAATAGTGAGCACCTCTTGTTTTATCCCATTAGGATGCATCTGTTCAGTAGGAGGATCCCAGCTATGCTGCTGAGACTAAAGATAGGGAAAGTTATCTGGTGAATCTCAGGATAAATTCCAAAAGGATCAAGTGCACTTTGCAGTGACCCTTGTTTCTTGACTACATTCTAGTAGTAATGACCATTTTGGTAAAGTATCAACATAAAACCGGTAACAGGGAGGCATGGCTTTACGCAAAAACAGATTATTTTAAGAAACTCATTATTATTTTTGTAGGATTGATCTTGGCCAGCCTGATGAGGAAAACAGCGGGAAAGCAGGGACGAATTTTATTATTTTGTGATTACTGCTTTTCCCTATTGTTAAATAATTCCTCGTTGCTAAGACTGCATTGCTACGCAGACAAGTTCTTGTACTTGTATAAAGAAGGTGCCATGCATACAGCTGAATGGAAATGTGGATATAAATACCATGGCAGACAGTGTAAGAATAAAGTACATTTCTGAGTTTTCTGGCTTTGAAAGTGCAATATTTTGCCTGATTTGTCATGTAGAAATCATATATGTTTATTTTTGTAGAGCATGAAACAGCAACACTTAATAATGTTTTTCTGTGAGCTTGGGGCAGCAGGAAAAGGGAACAAATCAAGGTTGATGGTTTCTGTTTCCTGTAAAGAGCAGACCATTGGAGTAGCTGCACATGAATTGTACTTTAAAAACTGTGTTGTTTGGAAAGCCAGAGCAAATAAGATATTTGACTATAGATAGAACTTGGCTAAGCTTTTTGAAGTTTGGCAATCAACGTAGAGCTTAAATGATAGTGCTAGTCATCAAGGCAGTAAACTTGCAAAAGATACTGATTGCAGCAGCAATTTTTTCTGTCTCAGACATTGAGTCTTACATCATCTTCTCCAAATGCCACTTTAAAGGAAAAGTCAAGTCTCTTCAGTCCCCAAGGATTTCTTCTGCTTCACAACACTTTACAAGCAGAAGTGATACGCTCAGGCACAGAAAACTCCCTGCAGAAAACACTTTTCATGAACAGTTTATCTTTAAAGAGAAGGGCTTTCCTTCCGTCCTTTTTAGCTCTTCCAACCGGAGTGCCCTTGTGCTATTAATTTTTCAGTACATACACTAAGCCAGTTTGCTGTCCAACGTACCAATCTTGCAGAATTGTTTTTAAAAAATTGTACTGGAGTCTGAGATTTTATTGAAGTAAGGAATTTATGGTATGGCTTAAGAACAATAAATACTACAGAATTTTCCCACAACTCCAAATAAATGCTTTTATTCCAGTAAGTGACAAATATGGATACCATGCACCTAATTGAATGGTACTGTGTATTCTTATTAAAGTTGTTTATTTCTAATGTCACAATCTTAGTCTGTAACTAAGCGTTTCAGTTTGCAGAGGGTTTGTTTCAAGGTAAAGATTTAGCTATAGAAGTTAACAAGTACGGGCATGAAGTAAAAGACTGTACGATATTCTTTTTTGAGCAAATGTGCTGAGTTTCTTATTTTTCTATTAACTTTTCCATAGAGATTACAACATGTTCTTGGATTAAGAAATAATGGTAATAGTGCATTAGGCGGCACAGGACAACTGACTGAGAGGAGTCCTTTTGCTGTTCTGTAGGCAGGTGACAATTGAAAGGTTTAACCTTTTTCCTTGGTTCTAAGTGTGCATTTATAGATACACAGATATGCAATGCTGTTTGGGGTTCTTTGGCTCTTAGCTCTTCCAGTACACCTGTTACTATGTACACTTCATACCATAAAAATCATCCAGAGACTGGATTAAATATGAGATTTTGGAAAGTAGTGTCATAGCTTCCTTATGCTTACTTGGATGTGTTTTATTGTTGCCTCCTGTAATTAAGTACCACAAAGTCTTGTCATTTTTTTAAAAAGAAAAAAAATTTGTACAAATAAAGAAGCTTTAGAGTTGAGGCCTTTCTTAGATTCCCAGTTATGCTAAATAGAATTGTGTTTGAATTTGTTTCAGTATTACTTTTTCAATTGATTGACCAAATGACCAAAGTGAAAGGGCATTAAAACCTGATCCAACAAATAATTTAAGCACTTGCTTAACTTTAAGCTACTGACTAGTCCCTTTTACTTCAACGAGGATGTTAATGTACTTAAAGTAAAACATGTGCTTAAGTGATTTGAAGGATTAGTGCCTATCTTTGTTAAGGTTTTCATCTCTTCAGCTTTGTATACATGTGCTTCTGTTAGCAGTTACACGTTAAGAATATTTACATGCAGTTATCCAACCTAGTGACACAGGTGCAATAGCAGTTCTTAGAGGAATTCTTTAACTGGTGCCTTTGTTGAATTTACAGTTCAGCATCTTTCTTGCTCAATGAATAAAAAGCGTTGGCTAAATTGTGCTGATAGGGAAACTGAGGTATTGCACTTAGTGACAAGTCCATTCACCTTTGGCATCGTTTTGCTAAACGCTTTATGGAATGTGATGCGACTCATCTCGTTAGAAAAAGGGTAAATCTTTATGTGGTTCTTCAGTGTTTCCAGAGCGGTGCAATAAAATGCATGACATTATATATATGCCATACCATGGATGCTGAAATTCATGGTAGCAAAATCATTACGTTCTGGTTGGCTATTGTATTGTTACAAGTAGTTTCTCGGTATAGTTGGGTTGCTAGCAGTGTTTAGGTAAGTATCACTTAAAAAATACAAAGTTTCTGTCTTACAGATTATGTTACTATTAAGCATTATAATAATAAATACTAACATCATCTCACTGTTTTCGCCCTTTTTTACTGCAGTCTTTGAGGAAGAATTACAGTGACACTATGAAAGCGTCCCCAGATTTCAGAGAATACTGCTGCAAACAGTTAATTCACAATTTCATTAAAACAGTCATAGTGTACAGTTAGTCATCACCAGTTTGAATGTTTTTATAAAGACAGAGAAAGCTTCTTTGAGAATATCAAAGAGATTTTCTGAAGGTATGAGAGTTCACATTCTCTTCTTAACCTTCAGATGAAAGATTACCACAGCAGTGCCAGATCAGAACTCAAGGAAAAGTTAACAATATTAGACATTCTTTATCTAAGTTAGGCTAGATGCTCTTTGAGGATATTACAGGTTCCAAATAGTAACAGTAATGTTTGTTTAGGGGTCCCATATTTGTGTCTGGAATTTCCCAGACACAAGGGCGTGGGTGTGTGTACGTACATGTATACCATGCAGTTCAGAGTCTCTTCAGCACATTATGAATGTGTGGGAGGACAAGGGCAGGACCTTTAGTGCATCTTAGACATGCTGTGAAGATGTTAATCGACCATAGGAAGTCTGAAGTCAAAGAAGCACTTGCACATATGCGTACAGGACATTGTGTGCCTAGCAACCTGATGACAAAAGTCCTTCATTTCTGTCCAGACAGGCAAGGACAGACACAGGAAACCTTTAGATGGGTGCTCTAGAAGGCACCATCCCATGTAGCTGCCAAGAAGTTAAGTATTTCCTTCAATACAAAAAAAAGCCCCAAATGTTTCCTCCAATGTTTGTGTCATGGGTGGTTAATCTAATCCTGAGCGCAAAGGTTTGACAACCAAGGTACCATTCCACTTTAAGAGAATATGGGTTTCTATCTGTGGATTCTTCCTTGCACTCTCATGATGGAAAAAATAAAATCCCAGCAGATGTGTAGTTATCTGGGTTTACTTTCTTATGTCACTGCACATTTCTGTTTTAAACACGAACACTATGTTTACATTTTTTCAGGTATATTGGTAGCATTTTGACTCAAACCATTTATTAAAAATCTTTGCTACTGGGCCAGTAGATGTAGCTTGATTAAAATGACTGTCAAGCTGCTGCTTTTTCATTCACAAGTCACTGACTTATGCTGTGATCCAGATTTTAAGGGAATCTTGGGCCAGTCCCTCCCTGCTACTTATATATCACCTTGCATTTTCATACCCATTTCAGTTAATGCTCTTGGACTCTGTGATGGTTTAAAGGCCTTTAATTTTTTTGTTTTGAAATTCTTTTCTTTTGTGCTTTCAATTTCTTATCATTAACTTAAGTGGAAAACCTAATACACAGAATCTGGCAGGATGCAGCTGTCTGGCACATTATACATTGGATATATAAGACAGTAGAAAAAAGAAAAATCCTACAGTGCAAAGTATAAAATAGAGTTTTTAATGGGTTGGGTATTAGTAGAGGTGAAAGGAGGAATGCTAAATACCCGTTCCTTAGGTGTTACATCAAGGTGTAATAAGCACATTGTGTACTAAAGTAGGTGTGTTAAGCTTAAGGATGTGACAGATCTAATGTGAGTGTTTCTCACAAAACCGTGTGTCATGTTGATAAACTGGGTGATTAAAGTCACAGTCAGTCTGTAAAAAATAATATAAAATATAGAGAAATGTGTTTAGATATCTTTGTGAACCTGAAAAATGGTTATTCCACAGAAAATAGTTCAGCATGTGAAGAAAACAAAACAGTTGGGCAGCTTTTTTCAGCTCAGTACCTTTTGTAACTTTTTAGAGCATCTCTAATTAAATCTATAAAACTATATACAACTAGTTTTGAGAACGGTGTGTTCACCAAGATATTCTCAGTATCTCTAACAACTGTTTTGTATGCTGCCTTTGGCTCTGGGATGTGCTGTTGAAATTACCTGCAGGGAGGCAACTTGAAGGAAGTAAAAACAATAATTGTTATATTCTGTATTGCATAAAGTTTAAATGGAACAGTAGTGACTGTCGGCATAAGATGTTCTTGGCTAGTAGCATCCACATTCTAAGGTGATTGTTTTATTTGAAGAAATTACTCTGTGAGCTTTTAAAAACAAAAAATCAAATTCTGCCTCAGGTCTGAGTTTTCTAGGACTTGCATGTGTATGTGAGAGGGTGGATTTTGAGACCTGTGCACTCTGAATTTGTCATGGGTAAGGGGAACAGTGTTGGAAGAGAGCAGTAGTTCTGTGTGGACTAGAATACAAGAGGAGGAATTGTTGCAAAACCTAATCTGCAGTGTGATTGTAGATGCCATCCATATTCACTAGTGTAGTATGAAAGCAACACACATCCTTTTCTCTTCTCCTTGCTACTTCAGGAATGGCTAGGGAACCTGTCAAGTCTGCTTGCTTATCCAAAATTTTTACTTCACCTTCAAAATACCTGCAGCTGTTGGGATACCAACAGTACAAGATGTTCTAAATATGTCACTGAGTAGTTAAATGATTAGAAAATTACTTTAGTAATAAAAATCACTATTCTATGTCACTTATTGTCAATTGCTACCTCCTCCTCACCTTTTCTGGCTAGTCAAGCACCTTGCAGACATCTTAGGAGTTTATTTCTACTGTGCTCTGACGCAGTAGGAAAGACTGGACTGATTTTGCTGCTGAGGAACTGAGACACAGACCTACAGCACCCAAATTACAAGCAATCTCTGTTGTAGAGTGAATTGTCTCTCACATCTAGAGCCGTGCGGTGAATTAGTGACAGAGCTAAGGTTAAACCTGCCGTTTCAAATTCTGATTTAGCACCTCAGCCACAACAGCAGCATTAGATTCTTTTCATATTCCTTTTATCTTTTTTCCTGTTGCTGTTTGCTTCTTGTAAATACTGTGGTAAGAAGGAATGTGTCCAGTCATCCTCTGACCTGATTACAAGGCTGAAGACCCAAAATAGATTACTAGTATTTTTGGCTGATGACTAATACTTTGCATGCTTGAAGAAAATGTGACTGACTGGTTAAGAGACTGACTCATGATTTTGCACAAACGTCATTTAACCCCAATGTCCTTGTTCCTGATCCTTGTTAAATAAATAGATAACTCAGAAAGATGGCAGCATTAACACAGCCTGGTTTTAAGTTATTAGCAAGGAGCATAGTAGTAGCTTGACTGGTTGCTGTCTGATGCTGCTTCTATGCCAAATGATAGTACACATCATTGTTTTAGAGGCTCTGCAAAATTAAGTTGTGCAGGTTCTAGTTACTGTACCTTTAGCGGATTTGACAGCTCAGCTGCCACTAGAAACTTAAGCATTCATTAGCATTTCATGAGCCTTTAGACAATATCCCTATCTGTCAGTTCAGTTCTTTTATTGACAATAGTGTTAATGATTTAAAATATTCAGCAGTGTAACCAGACAATGTCAGCTAAAACAGAAAATGCTGTATATGCATTCCTGGTGTCATGCAAAGCCATTTCAACAGACACTGAGCTTAAGGCAGAGAAGCATTTTAATCCTTTATGTGGTGAGTGGTGAGAATTGCTATAATAGCCCATGAAGAAAACAAGATACGGAGCTTCAGCTCAGAACAGCAAGAAATGTTACATAGAGGAGGGGGGATAATTTAAAATGTATTTTAATTTCATAGAGCATCCTTATATTTAACTGTAATGGGAGAGCTTATAAAACAGTGGTGCATAGAACACACCCAGTACGTTTTACTATTTATGGCATTCATTCCTATGCCTTCACCCCTTTTTAAAATAAAAATTGATTGTTCTGTATGTCCATGAAAGGATGACTTCAAGTAGAATTGTGAAGAATTATATCGAGTACCAATTAAGTTGTTAGTGCAGCAAAAGTAGTTTTTTTCAGCCTTTATCTTTCAAAATAATTTAGATATTTCTTTTTTACACAGTGTCACAGTTACTAAAACTGGATCTGTGTCTGGATGCGTATCAGACATCTAACTTGAAATGCTTGTAGATGTCATAAATCTTCACATCCGTAATAACATAAAATATAGACCGCTAGATTACCAAGCAAATCTAACTATTGTAGATGTATTCGGCCACCTATGCCAAAATTCTCTTCTTTAAATGAAAACTAGTCGGGCCATGCAAACATCTCTGCTTTACCTTTCTAGCATGTTTCAGTGCTAATCTGAAGAGATTTAGATGGAAGTTGGTGTAGCTGGAGGGAGTTTTCTTTGCTGTTTACTGAAATCTGTCCAACTGCTTCTCTAAATGGGAATAGCAGGGCTGAATCTTAAACTGGTACAAGTGACAATGATGTATGATAATGATGATGAACCGTGAGAAAGCAAGACTAAGAATAAGATGGGAGTAAAAAAGTAAACAGCCTCTGTTATAGGTGTTTTTAGGGTGTTTTTTTCTAACTTTGCTGGTTTTTTGCCTGACTTTTTCTTGTGATTTCTTTAGCATCAGAAATAATAAGTTCTTATGTACTTTCACAGATCCCTCCACATGGTGGATCTTCTTCCAATGTGAATGGTGTACCTGAATCACTCCATTGCCAGAGCCCTGAAGGTAGGACACCAATAATTGGTAACAATCCTTGCAAAAATTTTGTTGTAGGTGGCAGTTCGTTTAGCCTTCTAGATGGCTTCTGATGACTCCAAATCATTTTTTGTTCTGAGATATTTGATACCTTGTCATCAACCTTATCTTGGAAAAATTGTGATCGTATTTTCTACATCAAGGCAGTAAAGCTAGGAAATAAATAGTGTTCTTTTTTTGGTCAAGTGGTAGCATATTAGTGGACCTTGCTTTTCAATAGTCACTATTGGGAATTCATGTGATTTGGAACATGACCTGCAGAGTATCACCAGAAATGTGTTTGTAGCTGGATTGAAAGTGAGCCCTCCTCAAAAGACCACATGTGCTTCAGGAAGAACCACTAGCCCATCAAATGACCTTATATAAACTTAGTCTTTCGTTCCTTATCTCTTTAAAGCAATGTTATTTTTTTATTATCTTTAAATTTAATTTTAAAGTCAATTTTTTAATTTAAAAATAAGCAGCTATGAAACTTATTTGCATTTTGGATGTTTCAGCAGCAGCTAAGGGAACTTGAAGAAATTCAGCAGATAAAACTTTTGGTTCTTTTACATGCATCATAGATTAATTTTATTTGTATTATTGCTTTGAGTATGCAGAAAGATACTTCAAAAAAAGTATTTTGAGTTCAAAAAATATTTAGACTAAGGACTTCTAACTGCATTCATTACCTTTAGAATACGTCCAGACAAGAACATAGTAATATTTGATTTGTGTGTTAAAAGGTCAAACAACTCTGATTAGTCTTATCTTGTTCTTTCTTACGTTTGAGATAAAAACAAGGGAATAATCTGTGAAGAAAACAGCTTACTTTTAAGTTTTGTTTTGCATTTGTGACTGTTCTGTATCTGTGGAACCTATTGGGGATATATTGCATCCTGCTGACGCTTCTCTTCAGCTTGCATTATTGACCTTGCTCTTTTGCAGGTGTGAATGGAAGCAAGTGCTCAGGGTCATCTACCATTCTTGAGAAGTATAAAGTGGGAAAGGTGATTGGTGATGGCAATTTTGCTGTTGTAAAGGAGTGCGTAGAACGGTGAGCAAAGAAACTGTTTGGTACTGCTGTTTATTTTATGGGATAAAGCCCTCTGCGTTAGCATAATTTCATAGAAAATGTGATGAGATTAAACCAAAGAGCAGTTGCAAAGATATACCTACACTTCAGGAGAAGTAGGCATAGCAAAACACACAGAGCTTCCTGTGTATTATTCCACCATTAAGCGATATGAGAGCAGCAGAGGAACATGGCTTTTTAACGCAAAAACTAAAGGAAGTATCACCTTCTAATGGAGGCTCTTAAGGAACAGATCTTCAAGAAATCCCCTCACACAACAGACTGTTGTGGATGGCAGGAAATTGTATGTAGCATCTAAACAGTCTTTGAGCAACAACCCCCCCCACACCCTTCCGCCTGAGCAATTCTGCTGCTTAAATGATTTTTCACAGCTTTAAGTGTACTGTGGTCAAAGTATTCTTAAAGGCATGCAGTTGGTGGCCATTAGCCAGTGCTACTCATTCCCTTGTGCTTGCTTCTTCTGCGAGGTAGTGTGGTGAGTAGTCAGAGACTTTGTGAATCAGCCCTTCAATATTCCAGACTCTAAAATATTCTTGTGCCTGATTCCCCATGGGGTAGACAGGGTGCCTTTACAGACCTGTGCTGTTACTGCTCTTCCTCCACAAGCTGTGTGTCACACTTTGCTGCTAGTGCAAACATAACAGACTGTCACTTTCTCAGTGTATTTTCTAGAACCACCTTCTGCTGTCTTCATCAGTCTGAGAGTTATGTCAGCTTCTTAAATATTATGAGGAATCTCCTACTTGTACACAAATACTGGGCAAATTCAGCCAATGTCTGTAAAACCATGAAAGTTACAGAAACAATTTCTGTTATTTGATCCTCATCTGGTGGTTTTATTTAAATTAAAAGAAAGATAATTATGAATGGAAACATCTCATTCCAGTCATCTGAATGGGCCAAAAGGGTTGGGTACTGCAGCTGAACCTGGGGCCTCCTCTACTGAAACACAGGTGAACAGATCTTACAATCCATAACGTTCTGCAGACATTATTGCTTTTTCTCAAGACAATTGTTTCTTCATACTGTATCTGGATTATTTCTCTCCATTACTGAGAGTAATATTGGCAGGTGGTATGTAACAAAATGGTCTAGTATGCCCTTCTGGTTTATGGCAGCAAATGACAATTGTTTTTTAATACTTTTTTGAGAAAGCGATGTACAAGCATGCAAGGTTTATAGAGTAAGGAATAAAGACTGAGGTGGCAGCTCCTAGAGATACTAGCTGAGTACAGTGCTGATAAAGAAAAAAATGGCTAAATGTGATCTGAATATGCTACAATTACTGCTCAAAAAAAGTTCCTGTTGCATGTGCAGGTTTAATGTAATGCTTCTCGTCAGTGTTAATGTCTAGACTCCAAGGTTTTGATTTTTTTTTTTTCTTCTTGAACAGTTTCTGCCAACAAACTCTGGTTCCTGACCAGAGGAACCTGACTGATTACCACATCAGTGTGTAATCATGTCCCTACTGCTTTAAACACTGCAGGTCTGTTACAAAAACTGAGAGAGGGCAATATAACCAGCTGAGTTGCAACTGGGTTTCTGTCCATTTCACAAGCTACACTTAAGAGGCTTGAGTGAAAAAGAATAGAATATTTCAGTTGGAAGGGACTTGCAACAATCATCTAGTCCAACTGCCTGACCACTTCAGGGCTGACCAAAAGTAAAGCATGTTATTAAAGGCATGGTCTAAATGCCTTTTAAACACTAGCAGGCTTGGGGCATCAACTGCCTTTCTAGGAAGGCTGTTCCAGTGTTTGATCACCTCCTAAGTAAAGAAACGCTTCCTAATGTCCAGTCTAGTCTTTCCCTGGCACAACTTTGAACCATTCCCACGTGTCCTATCACTGGATACCAGGGAGAAGAGATCAGCACCTCCCTCTCCACTTTCCCTCCTCAGGAAGCTGTAGAGAGCAATGAGGTCACCCCTTAGCCTCCTTTTCTCCAAACTAGACAAGCTCAAAGCCATTCCTCATAGGACATTCCTTCCAGCCCTTTCACTAGCTTTGTTGGTGTTGGACACATAGGGCAATATAACCAGCTGAGTTGCAACTGGGTTTCTGTCCATTTCACAAGCTACACTTAAGAGGCTTGAGTGAAAAAGAATAGAATATTTCAGTTGGAAGGGACTTGCAACAATCATCTAGTCCAACTGCCTGACCACTTCAGGGCTGACCAGAAGTAAAGCATGTTATTAAAGGCATGGTCTAAATGCCTTTTAAACACTAGCAGGCTTGGGGCATCAACTGCCTTTCTAGGAAGGCTGTTCCAGTGTTTGATCACCTCCTAAGTAAAGAAACGCTTCCTAATGTCCAGTCTAGTCTTTCCCTGGCACAACTTTGAACCATTCCCACGTGTCCTATCACTGGATACCAGGGAGAAGAGATCAGCACCTCCCTCTCCACTTTCCCTCTTCAGGAAGCTGTAGAGAGCAATGAGGTCACCCCTCAGCCTCCTTTTCTCCAAACTAGACAAGCTCAAATTTCTTAGCCATTCCTCATAGGACATTCCTTCCAGCCCTTTCACTAGCTTTGTTGGTGTTGGACACATTCAAGAACCTTAACATCCTTCTTAAATTGTGGAGTCCAGACCTGCACACAGTGCTCAAGGTGAGGCCACGCCAATGGTGAATACAGCAGGATAAACACCTCTTTTGACCAGCTAGTTATATTGTGTTTGATGCACCCTAGGATGCGGTTCGCCCTCTTGGCTGCCAGGGCACACTGCTGACTTATACTGAGCCTGCTTTTAACTAACACCCCCACATCCCATTCTGCAGGGCTGCTGTCCAGCCACTCCTCTCCTAATTTATACTTGTGCCCAGCATTACTCTGTCCTAGGTGCAGAATCCAGCATTTAGACTTGTTAAATTTCATCACAGTAATCATAGCCCAATGCTCCAATCTCTCTAGATCCCTCTGCAAGGCCTCTTGTCCCTCAAGAGAGTCAACAGCACCTCCCAGTTTTGTATCATTAGCAAACTTGCTAATGGTGCATTCAACTTGTGCATCCAGATTGTTGATAAATTGAGCAGGACTGCCCTAGAATTGAACCCTGACAAGCACCACTGGTGACCGGTCACCAACCAGATGTACCCCATTCACTACAACCCTTTGAGCTCTGCCCTTCAGCCAGTTCTTTACCCAGCACACTGTAAACCCACTCATCCCACAGTTGGACAACTTGTCCAGAAGGATGCTGTGAGGGACAGTATCAAAAGCCTTACTAAAAATCAGAAAGACTGCATCACCTACCTTCCCTTCATCCACTAGGTGGATGACCTTATCATAGAAGGATATCATATTAGTTAAACAGGACTTTCGCTTCATGAACCCATGTTGACTGTGCCTGATGATTGCATTATTCTTTAAATGCCCTCAGGATAATCTTCTCCATAATTTTTCCAGGAACTGAAGTTAGACTGTAGTTCCCTGCATTTCTTCACACCCTTTTCATCAGCCGGGCAGCCCAAGGTCTATCAGTATTATTAAAGACTGAGGCAAAAACCACAATGAATACCTCTGCCTTTTTTTCATCACTATTAGTCAGATGACCATCTTCAACAAGTATCAGTCCAATGTTTTTTTTTTTAGACTTTCTCTTGCTATTAACATATTTTAAAAAGCCCTTCTTGTTAACCTGAAACAGCACTGGCCAGTCTCAACTCTAATTGAGCTTTGTGCTTTCGTGTGTTCTCCCTGCATATATGAACCATGGCTTTGTAATCTTCCTGCGAAGCCTGGCCGTGTTTCCAGAGATCATACAATTTCTTTTTACTCTTGAGCTCCCCAAGGAATTTCCTGTTCAGCCAAGCTGGTCTTCTCCCCACTTGCTTGACTTATGACACTGGGATTGCCTGCTCCTGTGCTTCTAAAAGGTGATTCTTAATGACTGACCCACAATCGTGGACTCTTAAGCCCTCAAAAGCAGATTCCCAGGGTACTTTGTAAATAGCTCCCTGAATACCTGAAAGTTTGCTTTCTTGAAATCCAGCATAGCAACTCAGCTGTCCTTTTTTCTCATTACACCAAAAAATTTAAACTCAACCAGTTCATGATCACTGTGTCCAAGACAGTGGCACCATCACATCCCCCATGCCTCCTTCTCTATTCGCAAATAGCAAATCCAGGAGGGCATCTTTCCTAGTTGGCTCACTGAGTACCTGTGACAAGAAGTTACCTCCTACAAACTTCAAGAATTTCCAAGACCTGCTCATCACAGCAGTATGATATTCCCTGTTGATGTCTGGGAAACTGAAATCTCCCGTAAGGACAAAGGCTACTGATGCAGAAATTTCTCCTAATTACCTATAGAATAACTCATCAGTGCTTACATCCTGGCTGGGCGACCGGTAGTAGACACCCACTACAACATCTCCGTTGTTTTCCATCCCCCTAATCCTCACCCAGAGGCTCTCAACTACATCATCACTAACTGTAAGGGCTGTACAATCAAACTTCTCCCTTATGTATAGTGCAACACCTCCACCTCGCCTGCCCTGCCTATCCCTCCTGAACAGCCTGTGTAGCCCTCCATCCCAGCACTCCAATTGTTGAACTCATTCCATCAAGTCTCACTAATGCCAATGATATCGTAGCCCTGAGATCTGACCAGGGCTTCCAGTTCATCCTGTTTGTTTCCCATGCTGTGTGTGTGGGTGTACAAGCATTTCGGATAGATACGCTCCTGAACCCTCCGTGCTCCCAGGAGCAGTGTAAATGTTCCCACTAGCATTGCCACCCTCAGGCAATGCCATGCTAACCCTTGGCTTACCTACTGCAATCCTGTTGATATCCCCTTCCCCGTTGATTCTAGTTTAAAGCTCTCTTGATCATCTGTGCCCGCTTACACCCAAAGATGCGTTTTCCCCATCGGGACAGGTGGATGCCATCAGGCCCCAGCATACCTTGTCTCTTGAAGCCTCTGCCATGGCTTAAAAACCCCAAGTTTTTGGTGCACCAAATGAATGTTGCTTCACAGTCTTTTCCCATGCACCCTGAAACTGGCCACACATCCTTTGTAATCTGTAGAGTGAACAACATTCATGAAAGATACCAGGTTAAAAGCAAAAGATGATAACTCATTATTTTCAGGAACATTGACTGTGCATTTTGGAAGTCACTTGAGTTCCACTGAAAATGGGACAAGGGATGCTAAGTCACTTGGGTTTCAAAACTTCATCTGTGCTTTTTGGAATGAGGGGACTGGACTAGAAAAACAACCTTCCAATTATTAAAAAAAAAAAAAAAAAGGCAAAATTAAACTTAAAAATCTAGTTTTGTATGTAATCAAATGTTTATATTTAGTGAAACATTATTAATGAATTTTATATAAAATAAATATACAATAGTTGCTAATGATAACAAGGAGAGAGGAAATGCCAAGTATAAATGCTTGTCTTTCAGTTCCTATTACTTATTATACTTAATTTCTAATAGTGTTGTGCTTAGAAGCCTTAGTTTCCTGGAGCCAGGATCCTGTTATACCAGCTGTTCTACAAAAAGAGTAAGATGGTCCCTTTTGTAAAGGGTGCCTATATGTCTGTATATAAAGACATGAGCGAACAGATGGACACTGACAGCTAGACAGAAGAATACCAGAAACCTGTCAGACAATACTGGTGTGTGATAGGCAGTGGTATTAGCACACAAATTCTGTGGATGATATGCAGGACTTTTTTCTTAGATGCTATAGTAAAGAACATTTGCAAGAGGGATTTAGAGTAGGTTGATGAATTGGCTTTGTGAATGTTAACTCCTCTTTCTACACAGCGTAAGTGCTGAAGGTTTATTAAGTGGGTTTTGCTGATCAGTTGTTTGCAGGCTTTCAGATAATGCACTTAATTTAGTATAACGCATAAATTGTGGTTCTGAATTACTCACTACATTCATAATAGATTTAACATCAGGTCTATAATGTAAGAGGATGGCATTTCACAGATAGCATTTAGATAACACTTCCATCTAAAGACCAGATCAGGCTGTAACTATGACAACCTCGCAGCTACAGCTGCACTTTCAGAGCAGAGATTCTCTACTGTATTTTTTCAATAATGGATAAATTGGATGTGAGACATTAATTCCGTTCCTTTTTCTGTAAGGTACTAATTTCGACTAGCTGTATCTAATGCCAAAAGTATAGTGAAAATTAACCTGGAAGTTTAAAAATATGCCTGACTTTTGCTTCTGTAACTGCCTCCGGTGTTTTTTACCATAAATGCTAGTGGTGTTCTGATGCACACTGGAGTCTGTAGGTACTGACAGAACACAAAATAGTAGCAACAGGGTCTTGCAGCATTTTCTTGAGATTTTTAATTCATTATTAATATAAGTAGTAATGTCATCCTTGTTTTTACAAAAAAAAAAGATAACTCATTTGTGTTGCTTTTGTTTCTCTCATTTTCTCCCCTTCTGGAGAAATGGAGATTTGTATTGCTTACAGGGGCAAAAAGCAAACAAGAGCTCCTTTCTGTGAGAATATTTACTAAAAACATAATCCTTTTTACTTTGTATGTAACTATGCTCTTAAATGTCATGGGACTTTAGATGACTGCTATAGAATTCCATAAAATACTTTAAAGAAAGAATGAAATACAAAAGGTCAAAATTAGTGCCCAATAAATTCTGTGGGATTTTAGACTAGTCTGTAATGAACTATGGGGTTTTTAGCTCTGCTGAATCCTATTGAATTTTTCCAGTAGGGTATCAATCTTTCTTCTGCTCACTTAGACATAAGTGTGTATGATTTTATCTTTAAAGCCTACCAGTTGAACAAAGCTAAGTGGGAGGCTCAAGACAAATTTTGCATGTTGCATTAAAGAAGTGGCAGAGTTGTACCAGGTCACAGAAGAATGAATTGCAGCTGGAGCCTGGGATTAATATACAAAATGAGCTAGGTTGTGGTAGTCAGGGAAACAGCAGGCTCAAATGCTGCTGAGAGAACAAAAACCAAAATCAAGTCCATTCTGTCATTCTGTCCGAATTTTCTGTCAGCAACCTCCATGGGTCAAGGCATTCTGTTACAATGATGATGATTTCTTACACATAATGCCACAATTTGTTGAGCAGTTTCTAAATAATGGTTCTCTCATTTTTCTTGCTAGATCCACAGGAAAGGAGTTTGCACTGAAGATCATAGACAAGGCTAAATGCTGTGGAAAGGTAGTGTACAACAATTTGCATGTATAAGAAAAATAGCAGAAGCAGCACTAGCAGCTGCTCATTAGTCATAAATGGTGGGTGTGTTTGGGTTTTCTGACTATTTTCAGAATATCTATTTAACAGGATGATAATATATCCAAGAAGCAAATAATAAAAGTAGTAAGTGAATAGAGTAAAAACCAAACAAATTGTCATCTATTTTATTGGACTAACAAAGAAGATGCTAGTATGTGTCCAAAATACATTAGAAAGATTTTTATCTGTAAAACATGAGAGAGGAAATTTGCAGCTATATGTGTATTTAGATAATTCCCATCCCTCCCTGCCTCTTATTTTTACCTTTTTATGACTGTACATGCTCCTTTTAAATGCAGAACATGGATTTGGAAATAAATTTTCACAACCATTTCTTTCTGTTTATGTAGTTTTACCAGCCTGTATAACAAAGATCTCTTAACAAAAGAGTGCCTTAAACTTTCTTTTTAATTCAAGCTCGAAATAAAAAAAGAAGTCCAAAATTGTCTTTCCAGCCGCACAGCATGCAACCATGTCAGGGTTTTAAGTCAAAGGTATCCTTTCTGTCAATTAAATAGAATAACTGCTCTGAAGTGTTAATTCAGAGCTCCAAATGCTGAATATGACCATGTAGGAAGATGTGGCAAGTCTGTATGACATTCCTGTATAGTAAGGAGCTTTATATTACTGTACACTAATGCATTAACTGCTGTGATGACTTGCATTAAGTAGAGGTCCTCAAATGGAAATGTTTTATCTCTGCAGATTTTAAATTGTGTATTAGGTGCTAGGAGATGAGTGTTCCTGCCTCCCCATCGCTTTATCTCATATTCTCAAGGTTTATTAAAGGGAAAATTTAGAAAGGAATCTTAAAAATGTATAACCACAAGAAAAAGTGCTAGAATTGCCTTTTTGAGATTAAAATGTTGCCATTTCTTCAGCTGTAGGAAGGGCAACACAGTGTGTTTCACTGCAAAGGAAAACTTTTGGGTGATGTGTACGGCTTTCAATTTTAAATGTGTTTTATTACTTGACTGAGTCAGATGCTTAGGAATCATAAATTGGAATGGTCTCCAACAGACAACCCATTTTATACAGCAGAGTTTAGACATATTTATGTTCTCACTGTTTTGAAACAAACAAATAAAAAATAATCAACCCCGTGGATGCATACATGTCTCTTCTGAAAGAACCTGTGTCTGTATAGCTACATACAGATGTATGTGTATGTACAAGCAGAGGACTGTTGTTAGGAAGATGTTTATACCTGGTAGGGCAGTGGCAGACCTGTCCAGGAAGAATGCCAGCAAAGAAAGTAATTAAATTTTGCTACAGCTTACTCCTTCCTCACTCTATTTCACACGCCAGTATAAGCCCTGCCTTAAAAACACCCATGTGGCCTAAATATGCATGACTTGTATGTTACTTACTGCTCTCTAGCAGTTTATCTTGGATGTCCTAAAACTTGAATCCAGTTGACTAATGCATTTTTCTACAGGCAGCTTAAATGTAAATTAAACAATAATTTATCTGTAAATAAATCATATTGATGTAGACTGAAATCTATATTGCACTATCCAGGAGAACATTATAACAATTTTGAGAATTTTTTTTTTTTTTTACATGACAAAATATAGCAAAAACAGTGGGGTGGTTGAAAATAACTAACTACATATTAGTTCAGCATTTTGAGGACAGGTATTAAAACAGTATCTCAACATTTTGTAGCCTTTTTAAAAAAATATTATTATTGTTTATTTTAAATAAACATTACTTATGCCTGGGCTTTATTTAAAGCAATTAACAGCTTAGTCAAGTGAAACAGAGAAAACACAGGTAAAGCTGTTGTGCCTTAGTCATAATTAATGAATGCCATAAATTTAATATGTTTTCTGTTCTTTAGGTAGGAAAAGCTATAATAAGAATCTAGTTTTTGCTTGGACTCTTAATGCTAGTTTTGAATTTACAGGCTTCCATCCATAAGGCTTAGTGTGCTGTGGCTGTTCACTTTTGTCTGTTGATGAGATTCAGCATTGTGTTTAACAAAACTGCTTCATGTTTGTTTATTTTTTTTTCTCCAGAGCACTTTGCTTGGAGCAGTCATATGTTTGTTCAGAATGACAATTGATGCTCTTTCAAACTGAATTTCAAAGGTGTGACTGTTTAACCCATATATGCCGCACCATGCTCTCACAAAATGAGATGTACACATGGCATGTAGTTTCTGAGTTACATAGCCACATAGAGCTTTGGCAAAAACACAACGCATCCGTAAATAACCCTGGAAATAGAAGGTGAAGTAGTGTAAGATCTTCAGTCACTGTCTGTGCACAGTGGATCACATCTGCTTCTAGTGCTCTGCTCACAAATGCATGACGTGCATGCTACTAATCAGTGCATTAAACAGGAATAAGTTTCAAGTTCAGTGACATGATCTGTTACGTGCCGAAGTGTCAGGAAACTAGTGTTTTATGCAAGCATTGTTACTTACTTTGCAGTGAACCTAAATACAGTATCTGTAGTCCAATAGTTACAAAGGAAAATGCAAATCATTCCTCACATGAAGGGGGCATGTAGTTTTCTTCACTCTCCGGTGTTAACCAAGTGCTAAGATGTTCTAGGAGGCAAAACATTCTGAAACTAATTTATTCTTGAAACCCATTACTTCCTCAGAAGTATAGGGAAGGGGAAATTAAACTCAATCTGTGTGCTCTCAAGCTGTTGGAGCCACAGTGACTTAACTGAGCTGTTACATATTTTGCAGATTGTAAATCTGAGTATGCATATAAAATGAACTGAAATCCATAACCAAAGCAGTTATAATGTTTTTCCTGAATATAATCCACAACTTTTTTTAAAAATAAAGTCCTTGAAAATAAATCCTATGTAATCTGCCCTTGAGTAACCTACACTAAATGAGAGGCGAAGGCTGGAGAGGATCAAGAACATGTTAACTATTGATGGGGGGTGGCAGGTTACAATGATCCAGCTCAGGAGCGGGGGGCGGGGTCTGAACTTAATTTCACCTCCTAATACCCACGTAAGAATATAATCTGCACTTCCTGAATTGCTGACATGTTCTGGGGTGTTATTTCAGAGATATACCATTGGTTATGTGTATGAAATTCGGTATTTTAAATTAAATTTAGTCAATGAAGAAGTACAGTTGGGCTAAAATACAAGTTAAAATCCAGTATCTGACAATAACCCTCTACTATATAAATTAAGCAGCAAAAAGGGTGCTCACTGAACAAGTCATCAGTGGTCAGCTGTTCAAAGGAAACATGAATTGGCAATTTCATGTCTATTCAGATAAACCTCCATCCTTTTCTGAGCAGGAACACCTGATTGAAAATGAAGTGTCTATTCTGCGTCGAGTGAAGCATCCAAATATCATTATGCTTATAGAGGAAATGGACACCCCAACAGAACTCTATCTGGTGATGGAGCTGGTCAAGGTAAAACTAAGATGACTGTTTTTAATTCTTTGTGTCAGTGTGAGGTGTATCTAGGAACCTGAAGATACTGGGAGACATAATCAGATAAGATTTCAGTGGCAACCTGCATTTTTAATCATGCAAATACTTTTGTCAATCAGTTATATTAATGAAATGTCGTAATTAAGACTATTTACACAGATCTGAAGTAATTTTGCAATGTGCACAGTCTAGACAGAAGCGGATAGTGGATTTTATGTCATGTTTACAATATGCGGGGGTAACAGCGATATGCATTTACTGACAGAACTCCTGTCATATTTGCTAATACCTTTATTTAATAATTTGTTTTAAAGAAACAAACTCTCTATAGTTTAAACTGACATGGTTATGGTCCAGCAAAATTAAAACTAAAAAACCTCACCTCTTTTGTTTATATCAAATATTCACTCACCTTATCCAATTCACCAGAAAATAGATGCTGCTTTCATACATGTACAGAGAAAACAAAAATCTTCATTTTGCTGTCACCTAGTGAACCAAATACCCAAGTTGCATCAAGTTTTAGTGATGCACTCAGTGACACAAGTCACTGCACATCAGCTTGATTGGCATGTCAGATATAAACAGTATGTATCATCATCATCATCACTTTTTATTTCTGTCTGAAACATTGGTAGATTCAAGAGTCCCCTCTAGAATGGTTGCCAGCCTGGGGAACCTGTAAAGAAAGTCCATAGTTATTGAATTCATAATTTCTGTAGCCTACCCATTTGTCATCCTTTCTAGAAGTTATTTTTATATAGTAGAGGCTTTTTTTGGTTTTAAGACAGTATTATTTTTTTTGTTACATATTTTAATACACCACCATCTTGGCCTGGAGATTCTCAATTGCCGCTTCTCTTCCACATGTATTGAAATGCTTGGAATGCCACCCACAGCTCAGACAGATCACTCCTACAGATGTATCCAGGGTAACCACCATAGAGATGCCCACGCAGAATTTGTTGCAATGACTGGAAATGCCGCATCAGTAACTCGCTTACATGTTGTTATGTATTCCAAGAGGAACAGGGCATCCATAATCAGAGCCTGCACAACTGGCACATTCAGAAATCACCTGTAGGTGCTGCACTTTGGTGTATCATAGAATCATTTAGGTTGGAAAAGATCATGCTAATGTTGTTTGTCCTCTTCAGCGATACTTATTTGATATTTCTGCAATATCTGCAGAAATTTCAATTTGCAGTTCATTACAATTGCTGAATATTTGTTATATTAGGCTTTTTATTATTGAGCTAATTTATATCGCTTTAGGCTTTACTCAAAATCAGGGCTGGGTTTTTTGCTATGTAAAGGTATTATATTGGTAAGATGAAGAAAAGGGAAACTGTATGCCTGTACTTGTAGGTAATTTAAATGAGTGATCAAAGGTAGGAAGATGAATAGAATGAAATCAAGAAAGAGAAGAGCTGTGATTTGCCTAAACTCAGACACCAGAAGCCTGCAGTGCAGTTGAAAAGTTAATGTAGATGACCCAAGTGCCAGTCTAGTATCTTTGCGACAAGATAGTCGTTCCACAAAATAATTTTTTTACTATTTAGCAGACATTTGAGCACGCCTTTTGTAAAGGAAGATTTTATGCAGCTTTTTTGTGAAATATCTTCACCTTTATTATTTTTCATGTAGCAATCTATTATCTTTTATTACTTTAGGGAGGAGATCTATTTGATGCTATCACATCTTCTACAAAATATACAGAGCGAGATGGGAGTGCAATGGTCTACAATCTAGCCAGTGCGCTCAAATACCTTCATGGTCTCAACATTGTGCACAGAGACATCAAGCCAGAAAATCTCTTGGTATGTCCCATTTATTTTCTAATATTTTCTCTTACTTTGTTCTCATTAATGCAAATGGTTGTATATAAATGTCAAGGAGCTGTCAGGAATATTAACTTAGAATAATATGTATGAAATAAATCTTCTGCCATGAGATAGCAATCACCATAACTCAAGTGAGTTGTGCTCAAACCTGTCCTTCGACCTATCTTTATTTACATTTTGATTGGCTGCCATTTGGATAAGCAGGAGCATTGTCTCTCAAAACAATGAATTTTAAAGCTATGTCAATGAATTATTTATCATAGTTTGCAAGTGGGAGAAAAGGTGGGCTGAGTGCCATTTCTTTGAACAATCATACGGTTATCTCATCTCAAGCCATTTTTTTTCTTTTTCTCTCACTGCCACAGTAGGATCGTCTCTCTGATGATTTACCAGCATTTGAGCCATGAATTAACTCTGTATATACATTTATTTTGTCCTCAGGGACTGACTGATTTTGTTTTCAGCAGAGACATAAAATAACTGTGTTGACCAGAGTTACCGTGAAGTCTGCTTTGGGAACTGGTTAGACTACAGTTCACAGAATGGGAACAACATGCTATCTTGCTTATACAAGAGGTTATACTTAGGTATCACATATTGGGTATTAGATCTTATGTGTCATACACCACTGAACAAATAGGGTCTTAATCTCCCCTGCTTGAGCCACTGTCATCAGGAATGCTAGCAGCTTTCATCAACACTTGGTAGGCATTTCTTAAAGCCTTCTGTGGTGTTTGTCAATTCTGTTTAATGAGGTTGCATCTAGAGTAGGAGTCATGGCTTATCCCAGACCAGATTTTGAAATATTACAAGGATAGAGCTATAAGCTGAAAATATTTTCCAATTAAATAGTCAATTCATTCCAAACTAATTCCACTGGCAGTGTTTTGCAATTTAAATAAGCCCTCAATTAAATGAGGTTGTTTAGTAAAAGGAAGGAGGGGCGCTTCTGGAAAATGTAGTCACAGCAACATGGCACTTAAGAGAAAGAAAATGAAGGCAGAAGTCTCACTTAATATCAGTGCATCTTCAAACACCGACAGTCCAAAGAAATTTTAAGCTCTCATTAGTGATTGAATCAGTTATAAATAGGCACAAATGTCCTTTCTGCCTAGAAAGCCTAGAGAGATTACTCAACAGATGCAAATCGTATTCACTGTGATTGACAGTGGCAAAATGTTAAGGTAGCATACCGGTATTGGATGTAAATGCAAATAATTCCCATCAATTGCTATCTGTAATTGCAAGTAGTTAGTTCTTTTGCACAGGGTCATCCAGCTGTCTGAATTCTCTTTACCAATCATGCATTTAAAAATACAAACCCTAAGAGTAATAGCATTACATCAAGAAGAACAAGTGTTTCCACTAATGGTATGAATTAATTATGAATTAACCAAGCTATTGTCACCTTAGCAGCATTCAGTTGCTTGAGGAAACCAAACAAATTCAGCCATTCTGGACAGTCCTACATTCTAGAAATTAGATCCTGTTGAAATCATGTTAACATAAACATTTTACTTTAGGAACAAAACGTAGATTAATTTCTTAGGGGTGTTTCCTTTGATGTTGGTTTGGTTTGATTTACTCTTGCTATCACTGTCATATAACACTTTTATTTCTATTAAAATTTAGTTTCTTCCATTAACAAAATGACTCAGAACAAGATGTGCTAGATTCTTTGTGGGGCTTTTGGTGAGGTGCACTTGGGTCTGCACAGAAACTTAAATACTTCTTTAGTCGGCTTTCTCTCTCCCGTACTGAACTTGCCCAGACTAAATGTAGGGAAGACATTTGCCTATGAAATACCCAGTATGTTAACTGAGTAGATTTATGCTCAGTTAGTGAGAGATATTAAACAAACCTGATTGTAGTTGCCAATCCCATTTTAAACTCTAGGTCCCAATCAAATGGAAGCATAGTATTATATTTTCCTTAATATATTTAAAACTTCTCAGCATTCTAGGATTGGGTTTTCTTCCCCACCCCAATTACATGAGGCTGTATCATGCTCAAATATACATAGCTAGCAGACAGCTCCATTGAACAGTAGCTCCAGCTGCACTGTTGGCAATCA